TTATAAAGATCTTTTTACAGCTTTGAGCTTGAGGCAGCAGAGTAAAAAGCACTTTTGTATTATTATTTCTTTACAGTTCTTGCCCTGCACAAAACATACCTAACACACATCTGATCAGTCACATAAACGTCTAACAGTCTTTTCAGAGAACTTGCATAAATTTTTTTGTTTATTTTTAAGCCAGTTTTATGAAAATACAAATACAAAGCGAAGCCATAAGGCCTTAAAAAAGCAGTCAATTATTAACTAAAGCCGATAGCCGATAGCTGACGATCTTGGTGGCGGCTAGCTGCTGCCTTCGGTGTTGTGGAGCCGATACATGTCCTGAGCCCACTGGAAGCTCTGAGTGTAGCAGATCTTTTTTCCTCTGACAGTGTGGACTCTGCAAAACATGCACACAAAAATCGTTTTATTCACACTGCTTTGATTGAGTTCTTGCAGACGGCCGGTCTAAACTTCACATATCCCTTTTTATACTTTATTCATGACCAGTCCTGTTTGAAAATATCAAACTTACATGTACGCCTTCTTGGGACAGGAGCTGTGCGTCTGGGTGATGAAGGACACCAACTTCACCGGTATTGCATTTATTTTAAAGTTGAAGCAGCAGGTTCCAGGAGCTGTGCTGAACTTTACGCCTTTCGCTGAGAGCAAGGTAAAAGACTAAAGTCAGTATCAACATGTCAGCTGTAAATTTTCAAACAAATGCAAGGAGTCATAAAGATTAAACACTCACGGATGGCATCACAGCAGCAGGCTGCAAGCAGCAGCAGTCCCAGAGAGAAGCAGAGAGTCTTCATGATGCTGAGAGGAGGGATGAGGAGGATCTTCTTCGTCGTGTTTTATCTGATGTTGACCAGCCGTGCATCCAATATAAATCCTATGCCTTTTCTATCTCTGTGATGTCAACCTTTCCGCCCCAAACTCAGAAATCCCCGACACGAAAGCACACTCAAACCACCGCTCGTGCAACTGCGGAAGAAAGTTAGAGTAAGGGGACATTTGACAGATTAGAATCAGCGGAAGTGGGGGAGAGTGTAATCAGTGTTTATATCTGTACAGGTTACCTCTAGTTTTCAGGTTCTTTTACGGGGTTTTAGTAGACAAAGGAAACTGATCACAATCATGCCTGACATTTTGTGTGTGGTTTTCACAAAATTAGTTGTGTTTCCCCAAGCAGATGGGGAATAGACTGACTCACAACCCAAATGAGTACCCATCACTAGGCCCGGCTGGAGGTCAAAAAACTCCTGCTGCTTCTACCACAAAGCTTAAAATTTGAGATGTTTTATGCTTACCACAATTAGTCAGCATGTACTGATCTTACTGAACCTGATAAAAACTTACTTAACTGTAGTTGTACCAAATTTAGAGCTACACAAGTGAAAGTGGGGCAACTGACTGTTCCACTGAAATTCTGAGGAAAAAGAAAGAAAGAAAATTATTTGATTGCCGGCTAAATTTGTAGGTTTGCTCACTTGAAATGAAAAGTCTCTGATTTTTATGATAGTTTCATCTTAATGGAGAGAGACAATTAACTGAAAATAAAAAAAAACACACACATCACAAAAAAGTTCTAAACTGGTTTGCATGACACTGAGAGAAATGTGAGTATTTGATCCTTTACAGCCCAGCCACAATTCTGACTCCCACAGACTGGCTCTGTGCACACGTGGGAGAGGTCATGAGGTCAAGAGGTCTATATTAATGAATTTACTGGCTAATAGTGAGTGGCTATGGGCTGTGTCCTTATTCACCTCTGTACAGTTTAAAGGGGATAGTTATGTAAAAAATCCCTTCAAGGACAGATTTTGTGAATTTTGTTACCAAGCTTTAAACTTTATAATTTCTGCTGTAAAGGTGGTTATTTCTATTTGCAAGTCTTTGGGGACTGAATCATAGAAACAAGCTTCTGTTATTACTCAGGGCAGTGCAGTCTGAATGAAGCATTGGCTTCATTTCCAGCTCCGGTGATTGTGCTGCTAGATACTGTTAATACTGTTGCTTTGGGGTCCTATGGACTAGAAAAGCGCTATACAAATGCAGGCCATTTGCCATTTAACATTGCTGACATAGGGAGGGAAATATACGTTAAGGTCATGTACACAGAGCCCATAATATCGACTAGAAATTAACTGCAGAACAAGAAACAGTAAATGAGGCTTCAGAGGTCAAATCTCTTTGTCATGGGAGCTGAATTTATTGTAATTGTGGATTAGACTCTCTCGGTCCTACAGGCAGAAATATTTGGTTTGGATTTCTACTTCAGTGATGTTGCCACAGAGAACTGGAAAAAACAACACTCGAGAGTTTTCTAAGAAACTGTGCTGTTTTTACTGTGCAGTTCCACCACATTTTCACTTTGTACTCTGTAGGCAGAGAGCTTTGAAGGTTTCATAACATGACTATTTTCAGATATAGAACCTCTTTTCTGTTGGGTAAACTAGCCCTCAAACCGTTCTATCTCCTTGTGTAAAAAGTCAAAGTTCAGGGTTTCTTAGCTAAAAATTTTCATCCAAGGGCTTACAAACAAAGAATAGCAGCTAAAGTTTCTGCCTCCTCCAGGGTAAACTACGTTACAAGCACAACGTGACTCAGTTCTCATCTCTATGCAAATGTTTCGTGGTGCAGACTGAAGTGATGGAGATTTCATGATGTTCCCAAGATCTTATCAGTGCTGCTTTTAGATGTGTACAAAACCCAGGTTACAGATGCACCCGTAACCTATTTAGATGCATTTCATGCACCTACTTTCAACCGTGCCAGTTTGCAAACCTCAATTTAAGAAACACGTGTTGCCATTAAACACATGCATGTGACACAAAAAACGTACTGTGAAAAAGAAAATGTATAGTGTTTTAATGACGTGTAGACAAAATACATACGCATCAACAGTTTGAAACCACTGTTCTATTTTCTTGTCCAGATATACAGCTAGCTGAAGAACTTTGTTTGTTTTTTGAGATAAAAGAGTGACTTAAATGTCATTGCTTTCTGATGCATCACTTGTACTTATTATAGAAAGGGCAAAGGATTCTTAGAGGGAACCCCACAACAGAAAAGCAGAGGATGGATGAGTAAAATTCATCCAGTGCAATGACAGCAGAGACTTACAAAAATGCACCTGAGGGTGTTCCCTGTTATGAAAGGTGTTTTTTGTATGTATGTATTATTCCTTTGAACGACAATGACTCCTCTGATTCCCTTATCAAATCTCATTGGCTCCGCTTTGATAGTCACCACCATCTCTTAGCAGCATACGAACCACATTACATTCATGCAACCTTTTGTGCAGATCAGAGACGTTTCCCGCATTCAGATAATGCCTTTGTAAACGTCCTAATATGTCACATTGTGCACATTCACCTTCAACTGCTTTTATTGACACATTTTCATAACCAGCATACTGATGAATTCCAAAACAAAGGCCACAGCATGAAAACACCTTTACATTCACTGTCTGATGGAGTCGTTCAGCTTTGTGAAATGAAACTTTAATGAAGAATAAAGCAAAATAATACAAGGTGATACAAATGCTTATATAAATGGCATAGTGAAAGTAACTGATAAACCTGGATATATTGAAGCCAAACACACCTCAAAGCTTTGGAGAGCTGCTTAAAGAAAGCCTAAGAGTGCTGACTAAGATAAACTTTGCTCATCAAATGAGGCTCTTTGAGACACAGTCACATCAACCTGGGTCAACATGGCTTAATGGAAGGTAGGCGGTGTGGAATACTATATGGACAAACGTATGGGGTCACCTACACATTACACCTACAGGCCATGAAAACCCACATCACAATTTTAATTCCAGAAGAGGAACTCTGGAGTTTCTTAGTCACCAAAACATTGGAGACTTTTTCAGCACTCTGTCTTTGCACTCACTAACCCTGCCATCTAACTTTATGTCGTCTGGCACTTCATGTGGTTCTTCAATGCTCCCATCTTACAGTAAGACCACCTTCAGATGATTATGGGATATTAATGAGGGAAGACACTTTATCAACTGAGTTTTACATACTGGATTAACATAATTCCCAAATTATGAAGTTGATATTGTGATAATGTAAAAAAAAAAAAAATTGAAATCAGCATAAAATAAATGTTCTCTATATTCTGCAGCTGTAATTAAGCAGGTAAAGAATAAAGGGGATAAAATTCCAGCAACAGTTTACAAAGTAACTTTAAATTGACACATTCCACAAAGTCACATTCCAATCTGCATATTTATTTATTTATTTAGGACAGTGCATGTTAATGAACATAAATGTCAAAAAAAATTACATGAATGTAAACATACCAGATTATAGCCAAGAACTAATTTCCATCTGTTGTCCTTAAGCATAAAAATTGAAAAATATTGAAACCGGAACTTCACGGTCTCAACATATCTGATAGAACAAGCCCAAACAATCAACTGTCTGTGTCTGTATGTTATTCATATTCCAATGTGTGATATGGCTCCTGCACTGTGTCCTGATAGAAAAAGCTACATTTCCTTTTCCCTCCCTCCAGGACGCCTACTGCACCCACCTCACCCAAAAAGCCCTCTGCATTACAGGTGACTCCACTCATACGTCCAACAACTTTTTCAGTTTGCTGCCATCGGGAAGGAGACTGAAGAGCCTCTGGGCTAGAACCAGCAGACTGAGAGACAGCTTCATACATCAGGCTGTCAGGATGCTGAATTCTCTCCCTGCTCGGTCCCTCTCAACTCTCATGAACTCCAGACCTGCATTCACCTCTTCCCCCTGAACCCCCCAGACATAAGAAACTCTGAACCTTCACCATCGCCCTTCACTGATTCCCTCACCACACTTGCACACAAATTCTTACCCACAAACACTCAGACTGTGTTGAACACTGTTGTTCATATAAGATTGTATTGATCTTTTTATCTTCCTGTTGTTTTAGTGTAACTCTGAGGGCCGTGGCTTGTGTATGATCTGTACATGTGGTTTTTGACAATAAAGCTGACTTTGACTTCTTCAGTACTTTAGTCTTACTAGCTGAACAGAACTGGAGTGAGCAACAACAAAAAAGAGTAGTGCTTTTTTATGTTAAAAAACGTTTTCAAAAAGTGGCAGGTAATCTCATATTTATCTTTTCAAAAAGCTCAACAAGTGACATTTTACATTTTACAGGTAATGAGCTAAAGTAGTGCATGATTCTAGTACATGATTAGAGAGTGTTGCATAACTTGAATAATTTTTCATTTTCATAGTTTGGGGTCTTTAATTCTTGGTGAATATATTTGAGTTCAAAGTTCTGCTGAGGTTTCACTCTAAGTGAAGGGTCAATTTGTTTGTTTACTTTCTAATCTGTTATATTGGTCTTCCTGTTAATCGTCATATTCTAGGCTCACCTTCAGGTAAAGTTGGCTTCCTGCATTTGGATCCTCATCCTTACTCTCCATCCGCCCTGAAAATTAACTGTTTAGGAATATTTTTGGTCAGAAGTAATTAGACAAACTAACTGTAAATATTAAGCTTCCCTTTAATCCTTTGAGGAAAATGTCTACCTGGACTCTAGAACCCATGCACATCAACGAATGCTGCGTTTCCTCCGTTCAGGTGCTCAGCTAGGCCATTACTGCAGCCACCTCCAGTTTCTACCTTAACCTCTCCTGGGTGTCCTTGTTAGACTTTCTATCACAAAGAAGATTTAAATTGAAAAATAAAACCTTTGATAGAATGAAAATGAAAAATAAAATACCTCAGTAGAGCTTCAAATTCATGATGTTTTGCTTCTGAGCCAATTTCTGCTCCTCCTGACCTCACTGACTTCACACTCAAATTCAGTTCCCTGGGTTTATGCTGCAGACATCGGGGACAAGGAAGTGATATTTATAACACTGCAGTGCATTCATCATGCAGGAAAAGACACAGAAATTCAATTTAAATAAATGTAAGTAGCTTAAAAGGGTTATTTATTTTTTAAAACAAAGTCTGTGTACAGTCATATAAATTACTGGGTTATTTGTTTATAACCACGTACTGTATCAGATTAGTTTTTACAATAACAAATATCTAATTCCTTCATTATAATATGCTCGTGTATATTTCTCACTGTGTAAGAGATGGTCTGACTGGACCTACATGGAAAGGTCAACATTTGTCCGTCTGTGGTTTGGTTTTTCATTCCACAATCAGTTTCGAGGTGGGAGGAAATGAATGTAACTCACTGTTTGCGGTTGGAAACGTGCGCTGTGAGTGCACAGGAACTGTCTACAAAGTGTAAGTGTGGAAAAACATACATTTGAAGCATTGTCAGCAGAATCATTTCACACGTCACTGGTTTGCTGTCGGCTCTTGGAGCAAGTTACTTTACAAGGGAAAAAAAGAGCTTTTCACTATAGAGAAAAGCTTGAACTGACTATCGCCAAAATAACTTCACCCAAGTACAACAATTCCCTTTTAAATCCAGTCATACTGAACTGCTGAGGAGAAATAATTTAGAAACTTCAACTAATTTGCATTATTATCAACTTTATAAGCTACATCTTCACCATTTGCTGATTCAACATATGGGTTTAAATGGAATTTGGTAGTTAGAGTAGCAGAAATCCCAAGTTCTGGTGTAGCAGGGCAGGGTGGACCTAAGGCTCCGTTAGAAATAGGTCCCATGATTTCTATGGTCTGCTGCTCTGAGGTGTGCTGCGTTTTATGGATTTGAACCATCAGGGTGGAGTTTAGCAAACAGCATCTGACTTTGAAGCTCGCTGACTTTGCACACAAATATGATTCTACATGATTTCTCCTTTGCAAGTTATACTTTTACTGCCATCTTTTCAATTCAGAGTTCTTTGTCTCTGCCCATTTTAAATTTCACTACTGTCGCGCTGAGGTGAGATGTAACAAAGTACAAATACCCTGTTACTGTGCTTGAGTTCAATTTTCAGGTATCAGTACTTTACTAGACCATTTATTTTTCTGGCAACTTCTCCCTACATATATAAACAAAGATCTGGACTTTCTCCTCCTTACATTTTTAAAACAGGCTTCTTGCTTTTGGTTTAACACATTTAAGGGGAGTGATTGTTTCTTGTTGCTGCAGGCCTTCAAATATCAGCAGATTTGGGCCTAAACAGTTTCATGTCAAAGGCAATCATGTTCCTGTATTAATCACCATGGTCAGGAGATAACATGCACTGGTGTTTTTCGTATTTCTGGCATCACCAGAACCAGTGCAGTTGCCCATAAGTGGCGGATGCGGTACTAACTTTACGCAGAGGTGGAAAAAGATACAAAAGACAGAACAGGAAAGGAGGAGGAGAGGCTACACTTAAAGGTAAGGACTGCTCAGTAGTATCTGATCAACTGAAAGTTTACATATATGTCCTCATGTTTTTATATTTTCATGTTTTATTTGGTCTTTACATGTGACATTTTTGTATGTTGTGAATCATGCTGAAAAACAAACTGGGGTATGCTAACTTTGTGTTATTTAAAGGCTGCACAAATATACTTTAGTGCAGGATAAACAGGTTGGTTTGCTGTGCTGTCATGGGTTTACACTACAGGACAGTGTGTGACTGGTGCACGGCAGCTGTGATGCTCATGGTCAGGTTACATCAAGTGTAGCACAGATTCATTAGCTGATGATGCTGAGATTCATTCCATTCATTCCACCTTCATACCAGCTTTATACTGTGTCTAGTATGAAGTTTTCTCAAAGTTACAAAGATGCTCGCCAAGCCTTACCTTTGAAAGCAATCTGCGACACCTACTGGTCATTTTTGTAACTACTCGTTGCATGTATGTCATAGAGCTTTATAATATTTAACAACAGAGTTGGCTGTCTGCAGGACATCAAACAGAGAAATCACATAATAATTAAACGCTGTTCATATATATAGGTGTAGCTTAGATATTTTAAATGGAACCTCAACAATATCAAGCAGACAACATACTAGAGACGAGCTCTGAGATAATTATTAAGCTAAATATATACGACAGTTGTGTAACAGCAAAGATGTGGTACACTTCATAACTTCCAGGAAGGGAAAGCTTATTACAACCTTATTTACCAAAGTCAGCAACCGTCCGCGCGTTTACTCTGTTTTTTACCGTAATATAAACACCTAATTTCCACAAAAGCCGTTTTTACATCAACTAGTAGGAAAACAAATATGTAAATAATCATCGGTGGGTATTTAACTAAAAGAGGTCATCTACTATTTCTGGAGAATGGACGCAGTATCAGATTTTAACGCCCCACAGGAGCCGCACGGCAAAGATCAGATCGGGGCTCTTTATGAATATTTACGGTACTGCAATCGCTCGTTCCTCTGACGTCAGAAGACCCGCTGAAATTCAAAGTTAGAAGAAGAGAGCAAACAACGAGAGGACTGTTTCGTGGTTTCTGTTAGTTAAGGTTGTCCCGTGTAACACCTGTACTTTCTTACGGATATCTTCTCAGGTAAAAGGGGGGGGGAGCCATTTAGAAACAAAACATATAGAGACAAACTCGAGCTACCGGTCTAAGTTTCTGTTGATTAAGTTAACTAATTGGAAGCTAAACTAGCATTAACTTTAGATAGGTTAGCTTGAAAAGAGCTAGCCAAGCTGACCCAGGGCGTGGATGCGTTCAGCGTGCTAATCTAGTATGTTTTAGCGTGACAGGTTGTTCGTAGACGAGAAGAAAAGCTTGGCGTAGATAACTAAGTTGTCGCTGTGTTAAGTAAATGCTTCAGTTTTCGCTTAAGAGCGAAGCCAATCAGCCAGCATTGTTTTTGTTTTTAAAAACGAGCCAAGCTGAAACGGGGCGTTTTCACGTTTAGTTTTAGCTGCGGTAATCTGTGTCATTTAATAATAGAACATTTTTAATTTTGCAAATTTATTTAACTTTGTTGTAGGCAGATAAATGTCACTGAGTTTACTGACCTGATTTTCGAAGCAGGCCTGGTCGGGAGTGAAGCTTTATGGCCATAGACAGGATAAAACTTCGTTATAGGGCGGCTATTTGGAAAATCGGTAAAGGCATTAGTCACTGTTGAAATTACAAAGCTAGATTCAATCTGGCATGCAGTTATTTCTTTGGATTTTGATCAGGTTTTTTTCTGGTGTGGCTTGTTTCTATTGAGAAAGTAACTATTGCTAGCTGATACCGCTTTACTCTTTAGTAAATCTGTTCATGGACTTCGAGTTTTATCTTCAAATCAGTGAAACTGACCTCTTAAAAGTAATCATTCAGTGCTTAATGTTTTTGAAGCTCGATATGGAAGCAGGTGAGGAAAATGGCAACAATATGGGCTTGAAGAGACAGAGAGCACCGCTGTCGGATTCAGAGGACAATAACTGCTCAGCACCAGGTTTGTTTGTGGCTTAAACCAATGTCAAGGTTCCTTCTTCTTTATATTTACAAAATATACATATATTTACAAGAAGGAGTCCCTTATGCCTGTCGCCTATGTCTTGCTGTCTCAGAGACCAATGACAGTCAGAAGAGACGCCGTGTGGAAGCGGCCGGTCAGGAGAACCACTGCCCTGAAGCATCTTCCTCTGGACGCCGAGCAGAGCTTGAAACCAAACCCGACACACCGATAGTTCCCTCAGTCCGGTCACGAGTTCAACAGCTCACCCAGAGAAGAGATGGTAAATGACTGTTTTCTGCATACAAGTTCATGCATGCTGAACATGTGACAAAATACTTGACTGATCTGTACAGTACAGTTGTGACAAAACCTTCACAAAGGTGGAATTTATTGCACCACTGGCTTTGTTTGGGTAGCTAACAAACTTCTCTGTTTTTTGGCAGCATTTCAGGTAATGCTTAAGATAGCAGATCAAAAGTCAACTAGATTATTTACAAGCAAGATAAGACCTGCTGTCAAGATGTTGAGTAATTTCTGTTGAGCCCGAGTGACTGTGTGGGAGTTGGATCATTCCTGTAGTTTGTAACAAAGTGTGTTGTATTTTAGGAGGAGCTCCTCCTGCACAGCGCTGCCTCTCGGATCCAGGCGGGGACAGCAAGGGCCACAAAGAGCCTCTCCTTGGTGAGATTACATATGAGCACACCTTCAAAAACCTCTCTATCAACATCACCTGTTATTAACTAACTACAAACAATTTCAGTCTTAAAGACTGAAGCCTAAATAGATTGTTTACTGTAATGACTCCATTAATTAGAGTGTATTACAGAGGGACACAGACTGAAGTTCAGTCCTGACATTGGCCTTACTGCCCGTCCCTGAGTTTGCAACACCCAGCTGCTAAGTTCTAATCTAAAATAACACAACATGTGCAGTGAATGTATGTCAGTAGTGAACATGACAGGTGTTTCTTTTTATGATACATCTGGCTAACATGAGTTATGGAATGATTTAACTCAGAGCTAAATAATTTGTTTTTGAGCAGTAGCTGATTTCCAATCATCTGCTGTCATTTCCATTCATAAATATTTTCTTTTGTTACTTTATATTGGAAGCATTACTGTTATTTGCATTATATCTATGCAGTGTTATGGGAGGATGTGCATGAGAAGCGTCTGGACCCAGAAAAATCCCTTAATATGAAGGTCTTGAGTCTTTCACCTGATGACTGTTTTTTCTTTTTCTATTAATTTAGCTCATTGGTTCAATTTGATAACCAACAAAAGCTTAAGGCCATCATTCCACCTTGTTAGAGTTATTTAAGGTAATTGGTCTTTAGTACCCCACCTTTGACTTAAACACTGTCTGAAATATTTTCCAGGTGAGGCAGAGTTCAATCAGCGGATGGAGCGATTCAAAATGGCCTCTTTCCAGAGTAGCCCCACCAACACCCCAAGCCCCGCCAACCAATACCCCCGGACACGCTCCAGCTTTGTATCAGTCATCCAACAAAAACTCCAGGGCTCAACTACACCCAGCTCAAAGCAGGTTTCTCGCATCCGCCAGGTTGGTTTAACAGCTTTAATCCCTGAAATGCACATTCAATACTCCCACGTGCTGTTCTTAAGGGGGGAAATTTGTTATTTCTGTTTGTTTATTTATGATTTAAATCTAATACTAAAAAAAACATAGAAAGAAATAATTTTTTTGTAATATTGAAATACTGGATAATTGATTATGCTTGTGATAAATGTCTAAAATCTGATATATTTTCACTGGTCAGGAGCGGGAGCATGAACTGAGTCAGGTGCCGTTTCAGCCCATCGCTGAGAACGCCTGGCTGAAACGGAGCAGCTCAGATTCCGCTTTAGCAGAGGTGAGTTTTCAGACCCTGACGTTCCACCTACAGAGCTCCGATAATAAACTGTCATAGTTTATTGTCTGTTATTTAAAAATCGATGGGTAAATTAAAGCTTCGTGCTTGAATTGCCATCAAGTATAGCAGTGTGGATTAGTATCACAGCTGTGAAACAGTAAATAGTAATTGATGCACACAGTCAGTGTCAACAAGAATTCGGCACGTCCTGCTTTGACTAAAACTTTGTTCGGGTTTTAACTCGTTTTTGTGGATTATAGCTTTTGTAAACTGTACTTTTCATTTTTCACTGTTGGTTTTCATAGATTTTTTTTAACATGACAGTTTATATAAACAGGAGAGGACTCCTTGTGGCCCTTCAGGTCCCTCCTCCAGTGTTCCTAGATCAAAAAGGAGAGTGCAGTGGCCTCCCACATGCCTCTGGGATGTGAGTCAGTAGTGTAAAACCCTGCGTTGTCTAGTCACCTGGTATTATGGGCCACATAGACTTGGGCAGAGATCAGTTGATTAAATAGGTCTTGAAGCACTGCTGGAGACAGTTTCTTTAGAAAACTGAGTTTCATTCCTTACTGTTCACCTTCTTCTCTCTTCTATGGTTTTGGGGATGTTGGCTTGTCACTGCGGTAACGAAGGTCATGTTTGGTGTGCAGTGGTGGATTCATGCACTTGTACATTTGAAGATTGTACAGACTTGCACTGTTCAGCATTATTGCACCCTGTCAATATTTTCTTGGTTCACTTTGTTTAGGGGCTGTTTTTTCTTCCTGTGAATTTTATATTTCATGATTTTTAATTTTTAGAATTCTTTTACAATTTTACTGTCCCTTAATTAAATTAATTAGTTTTTATCTAAACTTTTATTTCCTTTTGTATGTAGTCATCAACATAGTATCATTATAGTCAATAAAACTCCTTCTTATTCTTTAATCCTGTTGTTCTTGATCTTCTGGCAGGATCAAGGTGTCGCTGATGTGAAAGACGGGAGTTTCACTGAACCTCCGACGACAAATGCAGACAGCGCATCTCTTAATATGACAGGTAAGGCTTTGGGTGTCATTTAGATTTGAAATTGAAGCATATATTTTTCTATAATGTGAAACAAAAACAATTCTAATTAGTATTGGACTTCATATGCAACATCTGTATTGGGGCAAACGCATTCGAACAGCACTTATGTACCAGGGATGTAATCTCAGGCCACTTGCCATTTGTTCAATTTGTTTTCGTCTGACCTCATTTTTAAGGAGAAAAGTTTTACATTTCAGAATATTTTGTAAACTCTTGTGTCTGTTATGTAACCAATAATTAGGAATAATGCGACTAATGGAGCACGTTTGATTACATCTTGCAAATTTAATTAATAAAAAAATGTAATTGCAAGTTCATTTCGCATCTAAAATGGTATTTCTTTTCAGTATCAGTACAGATTTTGTGCTCTTTATATAAATGACTCAGTATGTTCAGTAACTGCTCTGAAGGTTTAACAAGTATAAAGCTATAAAAGGTGTGTAGTGATGAGATGCGAGACTCCTGTTTCTCAACAGGTGAGATGACATCCGGTCACTCTGAAGCTCCTGCAGCTTATTCAGAGACTGGAATGCAGAAACGGTGTGTTCTCAGTGAAGAACCCAGACAGACGCAAGAAGCTCTGTCTGCTAATGAAGAAGAGCAGCCAGGTCCCCAACAACCAGAGGGCCAAACTGTGTTAAAGCTTTCTTTTAGCGAGGATCACAGTTTCTTCAAAGCCCCCTCTGGTGAGGATCAGAACATGTCTGACTTAACTGCATCTAATGAGCAAAGCTTCTCTGAATTAACTCTTCCACCTGAGTCAAACGTTAAGGAAACATCACAGGAGTCCACAGTAAGTGAACAGGGTAGCTCTGACATGCTGGCCTTTGAAGACGATGAAAAGATGGATAGTTCGTGCTGTAGTGACGGGGAGATTGAACCATCGACAGATGAGGAGTTAAGGATGTGGCGATATCCTCAAAGCACAGTGTGTATGGAGGAAGAATCCGCCATAGATGAAGTACACGAAACATGTGTGAAGGACGTGCAAGGGGAATCATCCCAAATGAACAAAGAGAAAACAGATGAAAATGAACCCACTGACATCCAGGATGATGGTCCACGTTCTGATGTCTCTACTAAGACCGCTGGCTGTTCTGAAATACAAAAAGATGACAAATCCAAACCAGAAAGCTGTTTAGAAAACTCAATGAGAGGGAAGTGTACTTTAGACCGAGACAAAGAGAGCATGGAGTCATGTAAAGAAGGTAGTCAGGGTCTACTTACAGCAGATAGTGATGTTCTTACAATAAAACAAGAGCAGGAAGAAATGGAACTATGCAGTCACGATGATGATGCAGCTGAACAGTCAAAGGAAACCCAGACAGTCTGTATAAAAGAAGAGTCAGACAGCACATGCTCAGATGGAGGCAAACGAGCATTGCCTACTTCTTTTGAAAATGAACAAAATGAGCATGCGGGACTAGAGGAAAATCTAGAAGATGAGGCACAACCTGTGGTAAAGCCCAAGGGCGCATTAACAGAGGCTGATGGAGCTCAGACCTCAGCAGAGATCCAGCCATCTGATCACCTGGAGGTGGGGCAGGAATCTGTAGATGAAAGGGTGAATCTTGACGTTAGTCTGACAGAAGACACTCACAAGCGAGGAGAGAGCTCAAAGAAGGTTTCCTTTATTCTGGAGCCCGAGTTCATCAACAGCTCAGGGGTGTCTGACAACAATACCTCTACAGAAACCGCCCTGTCAGGTGAGGGCAGTGTGAGCACCTGAGGACACTTTAGGAGAGGTGGAAACTCACGGGTGAAAGAGTCTGTTGGACATGAGGTGCATGTTTTGAAAGATTATGGTATTGGTCCATGGTGCACAAATACACGGGTGGTTTTTGTCTAGATTGAACAATTACAATTATTTCATCATGCTGAGAAGAATGTACGAAACTATTTGTTTGATGTCTAAAACACAGATTTGCTATTTGCACAGAAGCATTTGAAGTGTCAGAAAATGATTCAAAGGGATTTCATACATTTGTGATATTTTTCAGATACTGAAGTGAGCTTTCGTGATGAGACCAACACTGGTGAAATTATCGATCAGATGTTCGAGGAGGTGCTCGAATATGCTGAAAGGATGGAAGGCCCTGAGGATCACGACAGTGGTATTGGGGCTTGCTCCGTCGAAAACGATAAGATGGAGACGGAGAAGGAAAAAAGTGAAGAAGAGGGAGAGGCCAAAGAGGAGAAGAGTGATGAGAGTGATAAGGTTGATGGCATCAGGGATGAGCTGCTCAACTTTCCTCCCACTGGCATCCTCTCTCCTCTCAGCAAGTCTGTAGAGGCTGTGGTCACCCCACTGGTAAGATTTATTCCAGTCTATAGAAGCTACACTCAGAAGCTGAAAGAGTTGGTGTCCTCCACTAGCAGACAGCATTAACGAGTGCCCTGTAAACAACACAACTTATGACATGTGTGCTAATGTTCCTACAACAGCGACTGGCCGCAAGCCAGGAGCCCATCCCTCCTTTGCTCCTGACGCCAGATGAAACTAGCGCCCATCCTGCTGAATCTGCTCCCCTGTACAGGTAATCACAGCAGTTATATGGTCATACACAAATACAGATTATCATCAATCCCAGCTGTTATCTTTTCACAGTCACTGTTTGCAAACATAAAGAGTAATAGTACTACATTTGTGTTCAAATTGTTTAAAAACCCAAATGTTCAGAGCTTTGAGATACTCCAAAATATGCTTACAGAGTTGGCTCATAAAATATAAAGTGAGCTCTGAAGCTGTAAAGCAGGGGTGTCGAACTCCAGGCCTCGAGGGCCGGTGTCCTGCAGGTTTTAGATATCACCCTGGGTCAACACACCTGAATCACGTGATTAAGGAAGTAATTTAGCCATTTAAATCAGCTGTGTTGGATCAAGGACACATCTAAAACCTGCAGGACACCGGCCCTCGAGGCCTGGAGTTTCACACCTGTGCTGTAAAGGATAGAAGTTTTTGTTTGTTTGTTTTTTTTGGTACAGCCTTGGCAGTAGTCACTAATCTCCATACATTTACACAACTCTCTAGTTCCTCATAAAAATGGGATAATTCCTCCAAGTTATTAAAACAGAAAAAAATGATCTGATCCAAATTCAGGATCATGAACGTTTTATCAGTTTACAGCAGTTACACTGAAATAATGTCATTATCAGATCTCACAGTGGGCTCATTTGCACAGTCTGAGGTCTGTTAGTAAAAACGACTGAAACAGTCTGCACCAACACATGAGATTGTGCTCTTCAGCAGTCTGGTGGGGTTGTTGGTGCCTAATGTGTAACGAATCAAATCTACATGTTGTGCATGTTCAGAAAGCTCCATGATGCTTTACCCACACTGTTCTGTGAACTCTTGAACTGTGCCAGCACTCACACATTGTTTCTCAAACATTGTTATCCTTATGTTAATGTTTGTTTGTTCTCTGGTTGTCAGCATCGATGCCTACCGCACACAAAGGCAGAGTAAGCTTCCCATCGTTCAGAGCGTCACTCCGGGGGTTCAGAGACGGGCTGAAGAGACGCCCAAGCCTCAGCCGCCTGTCAACATCAAGGAGAAAATAACGGTGTGTAGTTTGCTTTGACTAGTTTAGAAAAACACTGATATTACGGAAGGCTAAGCTCAATATTGTCCAACAACTTACCTGTCCTGAAGTTTACACAGGGAGTAACAGAAATTTGAAGTCTTTCTCCATTTCAACAAATGGAGCAGGACTAAATCAGTAGAGCAATGAATTTAAAAAGCTGAAATGATGTTTAATTATGGAAACTCGACATTCATCGTCTAAATTTCAAGCATGTGGAATGTTTTAATGGAGACTTTTATGCAGAGGAACTTAATACTTTCGAACGTGATCGCCCCTCATAACACTCTTATGTTATTTGTATCTGGAACTGTAGTGCAACAAAATGTTTCTTAAAGAGTGAGAACCCCAAAAACTGTGGAACCTTTTGAATATATTACATGTATCAGTGATGCTCTGGGTTTGGTCGATTGTGTCCAGGCTCTTAATGAAGAAGCTGGGAAACTGCAGACTGTGATTAACCAGACGCTGCAGGCCCTGAACTGCTGTACGGATGAGGAGCACGGGCGAGGCTCACTGGAGGAGGCCGAAGCCGAGAAACTGCTGCTGGTCTCGTGTATGTAGACTGCAAGATTTTAAACCACCGCATCTTTGTTCAGCATAGAGTCAGGAATGCTTCTTCACATAAGCCACTTTCATTCCTGTCATCTAAGCTTCTTCTCCGCAGCCGTTATTGGTCATTCATTGGTCTTTAAGATTAGGAACCAGTCAAAACTGACAGTGTGATATCCACAACTGTCAATTCTTTGCTGATATGTTATAATATTTACCTTGCATTTATGATATATTTTCTGTTTCAGGTGAGAAGCGCTCTGCCCTGCTGGCTGAGGTGGCCAGACTGAAGGAGGAGAGGAGCTCAGAATCTGGAGAGGCAGCAGTGGAGGACAGTGAATCTATTTCCCAGCAGCCCTGCAGAGGCACTGTCAGCATCACAAACATCCAGCTGCCGCTCAAGGTGGAATATGTCTGCTCCTCACACAACCGTGCAGGTACCGCAGCTGAGAAGATTTCTGCCTTTGTTTGGTTTTTAATGGCTTCACTCTTAACATTCACGATGTTGTTTTTGTTTGTCATTTAGGTCGACCAAGTCACTACTTTTTTGTTCTTATCCGCTACGGACCCTGCAACATCGTCGCCACCCCTCTGGCCACAGCTGCAGATGCTCAGAACGGAGACACCATCTCCTTCCCCACATCTGTCACTATGTAAGCTGCATTTCATCAACTACTCTTAAACTGGAACAAATGTTTGTGGCCTTTGACCTTATGTGACGTTTCATGTTGCGGCTCTGAAACAGCATTTTGATTTCTCATTTTGTGACTCTACTAAGTGGTAATTGATATGCAAAGTATCCTAATGCATTGCATTGCTTCGTCTTAATGTTTCAGGAAGGATATTCGCTCATCCTTTGAAATTGATGTGGAAGTCTACAGCCTGGTCAGTCACAATCTATAGAGCTTCATTTTCTATGACTATTTACATTATACACGTTTTAAATCATTATAAACCTTTCATGTGCGTTAACTGTGAACTGGTGATGTTGCAGCCAGATGTGCTAATGTAATACACACATCTGTAGTGTGTCTAATGGATTAGCTGAAGAGACTTGGTTGGATTGTTTGCTGCAGCATTGCAGGCATGTCTCTGTGGTATCTGATGGAAGGCTGTTGTAAGCTGGCGTGCTGTTAGTTGGCGATCCTGTAGGGAGAGGGGCCGTCCTGGAGTCCTCCCACCTAAATACAGAAGCCACTGTTTTTTCTTTATGTGACAGCTCATGAGATTTACTTCAGTTATAAGTTCTGAAGCCAGGGGAGACTAACTAATGCCTATCAGTAATCGGAGTGTAGTTGAACAGCTGTGGTCGTTCAGCATTAGCAGCAGGATTGTATAAGGCTCTGGTTAGGCTGCCCTTTGCTTGGGTGTGTGCTGGTTTTAAAGGCAGTTTAAGGTGTGCTGCATTAGGCCTAGTGATTTGTTTTTTTTAATGACCTTCTTACTGCTCAATATACCAAATGTGTAAAATATGTATTAGTATTATTTTTGTGTTTGTGTTGATTTTAAATGTGGAGTGTTGTTGTCTAAAACTGAAATTACTTTATATTTTTATTATGTTGTTTTTCTGCCATCTAGTCCCAAACCTCAGCCAGTAACTGCACCATGGAGCGGGCCTCCACCAAGCCACGGGTAAGCTGGTCATTTTTGAGCTCACTGCATGTTTATATAGACAATGTTTAAATTCATTAATGTTGCCTTCTCATGTGCAGGTCACTCCAAGAAAGCTTCTGAACACTCTCACGGTGAGGTTTCAGTTTTATTTTTCATCAAATCGTGGTTATACTTTGAGTTTTACTCTTATTTATTCATTTGTCTTATTTTCCAGCAGAGATCCAGCGTCAGTTCAACATGTAAGTTGTTTTATTTTGGTCACTAATTTATTTTATTTTGTCAGTGCATAAAGAGCAGCATGGTTACAGGTCTTCAAATGTCTTAAATGCATATTTATAACCAAAGGCCTTAAAATGTTTTATATTGGCTTCAGTTGGAGTATAGTTTCCATTTTCTTTAGTATTTCTTTAGCTGGATCCTAAATTTTATTTTCATGAAGTTCACTGTTAAGTCTTAGGCTGAACTTGATTTTTAGCTGTAAGTGCATGCTTATTGGGGTGTATTATTATCTATGTTATTGTAGGGTCTTTATCTTACAATATAAAGTGCCTTATGTTTTGTTGTGATTTGGCGCAATATCAATAAACTTGACTTGAAGCATAAACACCCCGATGAGGCTTCAGTTCGTCCTGTTTCACTCTTTGAACAAACTGGCACAAAGATGGTTATAATGGTGGTTGGTGATATACTTCCAGCTCTAAGTGTTGCACATTAGTCATGTTTTTGTTTTTGCTCCTTCAGCTGCTGCTCCTCCTCTCATCACCCGTCGCTCCAGTAACTTTTGTCTGGTCGGCTCTCATAAGATCGCGTTGGCCTCACTGGGACACAGCAAATTCCCCCTGGACAAGGTAAGATTGTGTCTGTTGCTGGGGTGAACACTGAGGAGGACTGTTGGTGAAAGCCTGTTCAACATTTTTACAAATATTTTATTATTCAGCAACTCTGGAACCTAGTGGAAATGTGAGTTTTGGTAAAGAGAAATAGGACTTGGCGATGGAAACTTGTCTTTGAAAGTTTGATGAGTAAAAAATAAGATGAATACAAATGGAAGCTTCTTTTGTCTGTGTAGTTGTGTAAATGTGAATTTGCTGATTGAGTGATGCAGCTGAATAAAAGCACTGTCTTTGGGATTTGCCGCTGCCTGAGAGGAAGAAGCACAGTGCTGCAAACACCACCCCGCATGCTTTCCCCCTTTTGATTTGTTATTACTCCACACATGCACGGGCCCACTGGTGATGTAACGTGTCTGTGTCCCTCCCCCTCTTTTCTTGCTTCTTTCGCTCAGATGAAACTGGATGGCAAAGTCAGGAGGCTGCTGGGAGATGAATTTCAGGAAAAGGTTTCACTTTTTCACAATTCTGTCACCCCCCCACCTCTATAATTCATAAAAACCTTCGAGGGTTATTTGTAAATAACTTTGCTGTCACTTTAGATAAGAAAGAACTTGAACGAATCTCAGAAATTAAAGACTATCCATTATGTTGCCATTTTGAATGTGAAACTTGTTCTTAAGGACATAAAGTGATCTCAACTTGCTGATACATATTACTGCATGTGTAGTCAGTGTACATGTTCTTACATTTCTCTCCTATATTCTTGATTCCTGCAGATTGAAATTATCTTTACTCCGTGGAAAACGGCAGCATTCGCTGTCGAAGTGACCACTGCCGGTCATCTGTTAGATTATGTGTAGAAAAGCATGTTGGGATGTATTTGAAATGCTGTTTTCTGTTACCACCATTTAAAATCCTGCCAGTCTGACACTGTGTGCCCCTCCCTGTCCTTTTCTGGCTTTAGGTGCCCTTTCTTTCCCCTCTAGAGGGCAACATCTACCTGCAGCTGGAGAGCAAGAGCCACTCTGACGTCCAGCACCAAGGCTTCCTGGTCAGGAATTTTATATATTTTTATATTAAAGAAAAACCTGAGTATGTCACAGAGAGATTTATCTTAGCAGGATATTTTCTTGGGTGTTTTACTTTATTCTTCCATTCTCACTCACACTCCGTCTGCCGCTCTGTAGCAGATGCAGCTGGTTCAGTGTCACGATGCTGAGCTCACAGAGGCTGCAGACCAGAACGAAAACTCCTGTTTCCAGCTGGCAGCTATGATTCATGTTAGCATAGGTGGAGACTTCCTGAAACTGTGCTTAAGCGCTTTGTCTGAAAATGAAAAAATTCTCTCATGCCATTTAACAACTAGTTTCTAAGCCAGCCACGCAGATGAATCACGAGTGTGATCTGGAAGCTTGAAGCCTTCGTTGCGTGAGCATCAGATAATTTGGACCAGTGAGTCAAATCAAAGACAAAGTGCCAGGCACACATTAATGTTCCAGATATCAAAGGGGAAAAATTTTGAAATTGAAGTCATGTCTCAGTTTCTTAAAGTGACATTGCAGGGAGTGCAGATCCTGCCTCAGCTAAATTTTACACACATCAAATCATTTTCCTCTAAATTTAAACGCCTGTTTTCACTGCATTGTTGCTGTGTTTGTGTTCCCAGACGATGTTCGAGTTGATCAGTGGGTATGGGGTCTGGCATCGCCGCTTTTTTGTCCTGGAGGAATGCAACCTGTACTACTGGAACTATCCAAATGACAGAGAAACAAAGGTATGAACGAGCAGGTTTATTACATAGATGTGAAATATGGAAGTTCCAGCCCATAAAAATCAAAAAGCATATCTGATTTAAATTTTGCCATCTCTTCAGAGTCATCTTCTTGTGCATGTCTGAGTAGCTTCTGGGGGTGGATGCTATTTTTAGGTTTCGCAGTGGAAGTTTATGACTGTGCTACTGCGATGCCTGCTTGCATCGCAGTGTCAAAACTTTTAAACGGACTTTTCTGTTTTCAGCTCTAGCTCCAATCAGCAGTGGTTAGCACCCTGACATTTTAAATCTAAGAAACTGTTACATTAATAAAACAGGAATAATTAGTTTTAGGGACTGCTGTTTGTGGCTGTAACTAGCAAGGTAAGCAACTTAAATGTAAATGTGTAGTTGACCACCTGCACAGGCACTCACGAGAAGGCGACTCTGAAGGGCGTACCCTGTAACTGGCCAAGTTTAATTGTTGCCATCAGTGACCTTAAATCGGTCTTTTGTGTTCAACTTCTAAGGAGGCAGAAGGCAGCATCTCTCTCTCCAGCTCACAGAGTCAGTGCGTCAGGCCTGTCAAGAGGGAGTTGTGTGCTCGACCTTTCACCTTTGAGCTGGTAAGCAGCGTATCGCAGCAGGAGCAAGACCTCAGCCAGGATGCCGCAGCCAAGTAAGTAGGAATTTAACGACCCTGACTCCCTGAAAATGAGGTCTTTGCTTGCACAAACAGACAGAAACATTAGAGCGAAGTGTTTAATGTGTTGTTGTCAGCCTACTTTCAGTGTGAATCACAGCTGCAAACGGACTTTTTCACTTTTATCCAGCAGGAAAAGCTCAGGTTTAACTGTCAGGACCTCTCTTCTGTGCATGATGGCTCGTTTTGCTTGCTTGTTGGAAAAATTAAGAGAATTAAGGCTTTGCTCACAAAATTGAGCTCATCTACTTTTCTCACGGATTAATTTTGTTTGACTGGTTTACACATTTAAGCCAGTCTATTCCACATTTGTTTACAGTGAGCATGACGCATGACGTTGCTCTTCTGGCTGCACCCAGCTAGTGATGTCACAGTGGGTGTTGTGTTTTTGACAGCTGATGGGAAACACCTTTCGGTGACACCACTCACTGGGTGGAGGCTGGACACTAATAGCTGCACACAAACTGACGAAGGCCTTTCCTGTTTCAGGTGTTGGTTTTCGGCAGACACCAAGCAGGAGAGGCTGGACTGGATGGAGAAGCTCAACCAGGCTCTTTTGGACTTTCACACGTGGAATCGAACCCAAACAGAGAGTCAGCAGGCAAACACGTCCAGCAGTGGGAACCTGAGGGAGAGTATACTGTAACACATCACTAAGACACCTGCTGGGATGTGCTTCAGGGTTTACTCTTCATCTCAGAGTGTTTGCCTCGCTGACATGTGTCTCGTTGATTTATCTTTGGGAGATTTTTTTTTTTTTCCTTGTATGTGTTTCTTTTTAACCTGAATCCAAACACGTTTGTTTGGTTCCCAAGTCACAGCTGTCGGAGTATTTACATTTTTTATATATATATATATCTATGTTTTTGTGGCAATCAGCTGCTTCAGCCTCTGCTGGCAATAATATAGGGCACTTTCAGTATCTGAGATGACTCTTGCCTTATACCCTCATATATGTTTCTGCTATAATTTGCATTTATTTGGATTCAGATTGTATTTTTTGTATCATTTAAATGGGAAGGCTAAAATTTATATAGAGACACTAATAAATATATACAGGTATAAATCTTTAACTGTAGTAATCTGGGATTTCGTGTTTGAAATGGACAGAAACACTAATAATTAAAACTGTAGAATTAATTTTGGCTGGTGTTGAATGGGAGTAAGTAATGTAAAATCTATTCTCGGCAGGCGTTCAGACCTCTCTACTGACAGATAATCATCTTGGGATTTTTCCAAAGAATTTGTGGAATTCTATGGAATATCTACAGGAGATGAAGTCTGTATATAATTAGTTTTAATATGATGTCGTGCTGAAAACCAGGGATGCACCAACATATATCATAATCAATCAAATACTGGTAAATCTGTAAGCATCTGTATTGGTCTTGTTCAAATATATCAGCCAATCTGCCTTTTAGTAAGAGCAGTAGCTGTTGTTTACCCTCCATATATCCATATGTTTGGATACAGTATGCATGCATTTCTCCTCCTGGCACACAAGAGGGAATAAATTAAATGAATCTAAATGATAAAATGTGTATAAATACCCTGAATGTCATCAGTTATCAGCCATGAAACTGCTAGTCAGTGCATCTCTGTTTTATTTCTAAAAGTGTCAGTCTTCTGCATTACAAGTGCAGATAAATAAAATCACATTTTACGTGTATTTCAGCTGGGGAGGCCCCTGACACGCTGCTGCAATGAATGCTGTCTGCCTGATGTTCTGCTATTGTCCATCTCTGTCACTTTATTCTAAATGTTGATGATGTGAACTCTCATTCTATGCACTTAATGGAAGCCAAACGGTAAAATAAATGAAGTATAACTGCTACAAAAGTGTTCTGACTGATGGGTTTAAATGATGCAGACTGGGATTTTTAAACAAATGACCAATTATTAACAATAAACACCATTTTTCCTACTAATGCAAAAAATATTTGAAAGCCTGTGCACAGATCCCCAAAGGTTTTACTACAATTACTCGCCTGCTCATGTATTCATGTAAAAGTAGCCGTTTCAGCCGTAAACCTGCTATACATGGGGCGCTTAAGAGAATCTGGCAGGAAGGCTGCTCAGGTCAGGAATGCCATACAGGAAGTAGTCTAGAATTAGACTTCCTGTTCGTCCCACTGCTCCTCTGGGTGGAGGCGCCGCTGGGTGTTACGGTACTCAAGGTGATGACAACAACAAGGGGTAGAGGGTCACGTGATTGAGCCTTCAGGACGGCCGTACGGCTGTGTCAGCAGCCTCATCCTCTGGGTGCAGGGCGGCGATGCATTATGCCTGCCAGAGCTTTGCTAGATTGTGGGGCAGGAATGTAGAACTGGTCTGTTAGATCAGTACAGATGGAAGCCAGTTCATTATTCATTACAGCTATGTAAACATGCTCGAACGAAACCATTTCTGCTCGTTAAATTTGAAGTCTTACTAGAGAAATGTGAGTGCGTCAGAGGTTTGTTTTGCTTTTGTAGCCACAGTTTACACTTTGACCTTAAACACATCATAAAATATGCTCTTGAAGAAAGGACACCTATAAGGACAAACTCCCAGAATGTGTGTGATTGCGCCTGTTTAGCAGAGCCGGGTTTTAAACAATGTGTGTTGCAACTTTCTTGAGAACCACTCATCCAAACATGAATCAATTGGAGTAATTTCAGGCAGGAAGGTGTGATGGAAGTTTTCTGTTCTGTAATTTCTGTAAAGGCAAAGATGAATAAAATGAAATGAAAACATGCCCAGCTCTCTTTGTGGGCACCATCCCTTCAAAGGCCTGTTTGAGGGTTCAAGTCTGGGTTTTAGGATCCATGCTGGTTGCGCATCATATACACTGTTGACTATAACTATAACTGAAGCATGTTCAAGGCAGCATTGTATTGCTTTGCAACCAGGAGATGGTGACATATTTTCCTCCAGCAGACCGGAAAGCCTGAGGTGTAAAGGTCTCAGTAGTAATATCTGATTTCATCCTGCAGGGCCGCTGTGAGTTCATATAAGACTCTGCAGCAGAAGGAGCGACCAAGCATACAGCGACACAGACGGAGGAAGAAACACTTGACTGCACTGAGCCCTGCTGTCAGTGTGACAGGAGCAGGGAACGTCAGGTCAGCGGCCCTGTTGTCCTTATCAGTGTCGTCCCACCCTGACAGGAATACATTCTGCACAACATCCTGGTGCGTCATCCTCAGCTCTGTTCCTTACATGGCTCTGGAGGAAACGGTGCCTGTGTGGTAAAGATACAAGAGCTGATGGTGCCCAGAGTTGTCTGGGTAGTGTGCTTAAAGTAAGAGACAAAATGAAGCTTATAATGATACCTGTAATTTATCACATAAACTTCAGTTATTTTTTTAAAGCATCTTCCAGCTTATTGATATGGTTCATCCTAATTTCTCACCAACACAATAATATAAGCTGCCCGTGGGTCCACAAACAAACTGCAACTCAAAATGAACTTCCTTTAGTAGTTACTTGAGGCTGGTTCCAAAAGTGAATCAGTCTCATGTTAAAATCCTAAACTTGCCCAATATAGGTAGGTCTATGGTCTGTGAATAAGTTAATACTGGGTGAATTGGTTTAATAATGGTATTAAAGGTATGTGGATGTACACAAGGAGCTGTGAGCTGCATGTTGTCCTTAGCACTTAGCTACTTAGCACTATTAGCAAGTGGCTATGTGTTGCACTTTCTTTTGGTGCAGCGTGCTAAATTATAAACAGGCGGGTTCTTATATAGTGCTTTCCTACAATTTTGCACTTTTATATGACATACCTTATTCACATAAGCATTGTTTTATCTATGCCTAATAAGATTCACACTCCAGTGAGCGCATCGGAGAACAACCTGGAGTCCAGCATCTTCCTCAAGGATGCTTTGGCATGCAGACTGGCAGCCAGGGTTTAAACCGCCACCTTGCCAGTTAGTAGGTGACCAGCTCTACCTTCTCAGCTACTAATACCCCGAACTAGCTAGCATTAGCCAATATTTACTACTCCACTTTCTCATGCAACTATGGTCTGTTCTGGCTCCAAAGAAGTCAATATGCTGGCAGCCAAAACACTAATGTTAAAGCTTCAAAGTTCCAAAGTAGTGGACAATATTGCAGGGACTACTGCTATCTTTTATATACAGTCTAGTAGCTAATGCAAAGATCTATGCTAACAAAACTTGTGAAAAATAATATGAAACCTACACAGGTAGTGTTTCTAGAGATCATGCAACAATGGGATGGTGTTTTTAAAGACAAACTCTCTTTTAAAGATCTGGAAGAGTTATTAGTTTGTGAAGGTTCATTTTGCATTTTTCTGATCTCAGTCTGTCGACACCAGATATCACAAGTGAGCTGATTCTGACTGAAGCATTTATTAAAAAAAAGTCTTTTTGGCTTGAAATGGAACCAGCTTTTACTAAATGAAGCTGATGTTTAATAAATAAGACTTTAAGGTAAGTAAAGTGGCCTTTTGTTTTCCTCATTGAGCTCTTTTTGCAATCAGAGTTTTGCCTTCTGCTGGGCATCAGAAGTAATCCATTTAAATTTCTTCCTCACTGACTTCAAGTTTCAGGCCTGGTAGCCTTTTCCATCTTCTATATACAGCTATATTCACAATACAGCTGATTTACATATATATCTCCCCTTTTTTGTCAGCCAGCTGCATAAGGAAGCATTAAAAAGTGATTTTAGTTGTAGCTCATAAACACTGCACACCAGCTATCACTCATCTCACATCTCACCAGAGATTCAAAAGAAATCCAGTCAGTTTTCTGGGCATGTGCGATTTCAGCGAACCATCAAAGAGAAAGTTACACCCACACAGCTCCGGACCCTCAATGGGCTGAGGTGGGTCAATGGAATATTTTCAAAAGCTCAGCGAACACTGAAATACCGACCCGGTGGTGACAGATTTGCACACTCTGGAGGCCATTTGTGGAAAACTTTTATTTCGAGTAAGGAAAAAGATGCTCTAAAAGGGAAGCTACTGCTTTTTTGTCTTATTGTCTTTTCTTCATCCGTGTGAACCAAAAGCTCAGACTTCAGCTTGTTCTACTTTTGACTCTGTGTGATGTCATAGAGAATAGATATATCTAATGCGATCGTTAGACCTCATTAAACTTCAGGAAAGCTACTCTAGTAGATTCAAAACATTTCTCAAATCCACAAAGAAATGTGGCTGAAAAAAACTTCACCTGGTGCAATCCACGTCTGATTCTTTGTTTGGAGATGCAGCTCTCACACATTAAACAGGCCACATCAGTCATTCTCAGCCTTTCTCAAAGTCCGTTTCAGTTTGGTTTGTTATTTGATCTGCAGAGCACCCGTGCCGAAATGCTAAACTCGCTTGAGGAAATCAGTAATGCAGCACCGAAAGATGATGGGATACTGTGTTTGTGCTGGCTCCGGCCACGGGGCCACTTGGCACGCTCCTCGCTGTGTTGTGAAGAGGTCCGGGAAGCTTGGAGGCGTAAACAGGGCGGCGGGGTCAGAGGACTCAACTGGTCCGCAAATAAACAAACTGTCCTCGGGGGCAGTAGCCGGTACTGGTGAGACAGCTGCAGAGGATCAGAGAGGGTCAATGACACGTGCTGTTTTTGTTGAGTGGAAATTTTCAACACATTTTGTTCCACAACAGTTTATCCAGAACTTGACTAAATCATCTGAGACACCTACAAAGTGCCTTCCAATACAACACTACTCATCAAGGACTCCATTACTTGTTGGCTCTGTTCTTTTCCACTGGGTTGTAAGATAATGACTTATGCATTATACATTGTTTCTTCTGTTAAGTGGTTTCCCTTTGAGTCGAGGAGACTCTCAGACTCCTGAGGGGGTCCTCTGGAACACCGGGTCCATTCGCTGTGCCCCCCCACCCCCACCCCATGTGCCACCATCTGGATTGTTTTCCTGCTCTCCTCCCCTCGTCGTCTTTCCCTTGTGATGCTTTCGCGTCACATGGGACATTTTTAAGATGCCATAACAAACAATCGTTTCAGTGTTGTGACTGAAGTGTACCATGGGATACAGTGTTATTTGATAACACATGGGTTAAGCAGTGATGTGTTTATAGGTGCGTCATACCACCAACAGCTGGGTGAAGCAAAAACTCTAAGTACTGAAGTTTCAGTTAAATTTGTGCATTTATTCTTGATCTTGTTGTCTTGTTTTGTAGCTCTTATCCATTTCACGCAGTACCTCTTGGTGCCTGTTAAATCTAGAATTTTAAATCCTTAATTAACACATACAAACTCTTGAATGATTAAGCCCCATCATATCCTAAAGACCTCATAGTTTGATAGTTTCAGACTGTCCACTTCTTTGAGGTTCAAAAAGTAGAATGGGAGGCAGAGACTTTGGGTTGAGGAAACAGACAGCCTCTGTAGTTTTTAGATGACATATCAAACTTTTCTTTCTGCCAAAGTTTTTGGTTATCGCTGGTACTTGTGCTGTGATCCACTTGTTAACTAATTATCTAATGATATGTTTCCAGGTCCAAATGATGGATGTGGCCATGGATGAGTATATCCTCCTCTTAATTTAGTTCACTGAATTTTATTTATACAGCACCAAACCACAACAACAGTCGCCTCAAGGCGTGACTAGATGTTTCATGCTTTGCTCTCTTTTTATTAGGATAGTTCATGTGATTTGGTAGTGATGGCAGCAGCATGGTGGTGCAGTGGTTAGTGCTTTTGCCGCCCAGAAAGAAGGTCCTTGATTCAAATCCGTTATCTACCTGGGTTCTCTCCAGGTAATCCAGCTTTCTCCAACACTCCAAAGACATGCAGGTTTGGCAAATTAATGATTCAGAATAACAGAGAGGAAATTTCTGAAGCCCTCTCCTTTGTTCTTTGTCATGTAACGACATGATCAACAGTCCAGCTGATGTTTTGTTGTGAGCCACCATGTTTCACCAAATGTTTTGAAATATTTTAAATTGTGCAAACATGGATTTGCCTCTATCATACTGCTCGCCGTGAACTGCAGTCAGTTTAACTCATTAGATAAACTTCATAAGTCCTCCCAGTGTGCTTTGTGGGATCGTACCACTCGACATAAGAAGTCCTCCACCTTCCTTTCACTCCATGTGTGTTTATATGTCGTTATTGCTGCCACTTTATTATCTCCTGTATTGTCTCCTCACCCTGAACTCCCTGAGTCGAGTTCTGTTCGACGTCACTTCCTTTTAAAGGGGAGTTTTTCCTCCCCACTATTGGCAAGTGCTGCTCACGGGGAATCTTTTAATTACTGGGGTTCTCTCTAACATCATGGGGTCTTTACCTTTAAAAAAGTAAAAAAGGTATGACGGACTGTTGTAAAACTGAAATTCAATTCCTCTAGTTGAAAGAAAACGCTAATAATCAACTATTTATTTGCAATTGTTTTGTTGGCTATAAAACTATAAAAAACAATCACCTCTAACAGCATTTACCATCTTCTGCACAGGCTCCTGAAAGCAGCACATCACCCTATACCCTCCCTTTCTCCCCCTCCCTCCCCTCTCTTTCCACCCTCAGGCATTATTCTCTTCCTTTAACTCCCCCTCCTTTCCTGCCGGCCTCTCAGCAGAGGATGTGTCTGGAGAGAGAGTGTATGTGTGTGAGAGAGAGAAAAAGAGGAAAGCCTTCAGTAGAATGGATATGTGCCTTCTCTCCTCCACCCTTTCTTCTCCTTCTCCTTCTTCTGCTTCCTCCTCTCCTCTTCCTCATCAGTGTCTTCCTTCACTGTCTTCCATCAGATCTGCGCCCTGGGCACCTTCAGCACCGGCCCTCAGGGGAAAAGGAGACTCGTCGGGTGGATGGGCGGCTAAAAACTGAACTCCAATGTCAGCTGGGGATCAGAAGAATGGTGGTGACAAACCAGAAGGTAATGGGACACACACACACACACACACACACACACACACACACACACACACACACACACACACACACACACACAC